CAAACCAGCAAGCGTCGTGAGTCGCCTTGTGCGTCGCCGAGGCCAAGAGCTGCCTCAGCGTATTCTCGTGGGCAGCAGCGAAACGGCTGCTGATCTGGGGTCGTGCGGCCTTGGCGGTGAGGTCCTTGCTGAGGGTGGCGACGTCGTAATGGTCGACGCCGTCGTGCACGACGCACAGCTCCGAGATCTTGCTGCCCTTGTAGCCGCGAGTTAAAGGTGTGTAGGTCGAAGACCACTTGGCGCCCTTTGCTGACAAGGAGACGGCATTGACCCTCTCCATCTCCGCGACGAGCACTACGCAAGCATCGTTCATGTAGTGAGCTCTGTCGCATCCCTTTTCGAACCCTTTGGGAAGCTTAGATGGGAGGATCCTCTCTTTCAATTTCTCCACCTCGCGGTCCAACAAAAAGCCCACTGCAGCACGACCCGCGGCTGTCTCGAGGAAGCGGCGCAGCTCCATCACCGTGATCCCCAATTGATCGGCGATTGCATGGAACCCGCAGTGGCCGTTACGCTCAGTGCGCATGTATTTGTATTTGACGACATGGCGCGCAAGGTAGCGTTCTGGCGACTCGTTCTCCTTGGACATTGCCTTGACGCAGTCGTCACCGACTTCGCTGCACCTTGGTCTGAATACATAGCTATCGGGCAGCGCTCAATCTGCGCGATGATGCGGAGGCAGTGTGAGTTGATGGCGTGCTCCGGACCGCAAGATTTCTCGAATCCCTCCGGGACTTCGTCGGGCAAGAAGCGCTGTCTAATCGCCGTCCACCGCTCGTCGCTGATGTCAGGGAAGCGAGCGCGGACATTTGTGTACTTCATGGCCCGGCTGAACTTGCCCCGAACCTCCATGGCGTCCATCTCGAGCGCCGCGCCAATGGCAGCACATGCGCCGTGCCCGTTGGTCGGCATCTCCTGCATTGTCCTGATGTGCCTTCGGCAGTAGGCCTCTGGCGACTCGGTGCTGCCATGGAGAGGGTAGATCTTTGTCTCCTCGTATGCGGCTGAAGAGATGCGTGGGCCGGGATTAGGATGAGTAGACGAGGGGCAAGCGGGCGGGGCGACGTCGGGACGATTCGCGGGCGACTGGGCTGCGTCGGCGGTAGCGGCGGCGACGGGCGACTGCGAGCGTTCGGCGCTGGGCGCGTTGGCGACAACCTCCTTAGCGACGGGATGTTTGACTTTGGCGTTTGCGCCGGGCTGGTGAGCGGCGCGCCTCGAAGAGCCGGCGGTGGCTATGGTGTTGAGCGGCGATTGGTCTTCAGGCAAAGATTTCCCCTCGTCCGTCGCCTCAGCCGGAAGGATGCGCGCCCCAGTCCTGATGCGGGACGACGAAGAATGGGGTAGGGAATACGGTGTGGTGGTGGTGGTGGTGGTGACGGTGGTGGCGGTGACGACTGCACTCGCATTGAGGACCTCTGGTAGTATGCGAGGGTCGGGGCACAAGGCCTTCGTAGGCGGCGAGGAAGAGGCCTGAGACGAGGACGTAGTATTTTGCGCGAGAAAGTCGGCATGGTGTCTTTTGATGCGGGTTCTGGGTTGCATCAAAAGGCAAGGTGTTGTTGTCGAGCTCCATCCACGTAAGCATTCGTGGCGTGTATCTTAGATAGCGAGCAGGGTCTGAACGTCAGCTTATCCTCTCGTCTGCTAGCTGAGGGATGACGTTCAGCACTCACTCTGATGGTGCCGTATCAGTGGAACAGGACCCTGGGCTGTGAGCGTCGATGAGCGACGCCGCATGAGCAGCCCACGCTGATGCCGTCGCATTCTTGCACTTCGCCTGAAGTCAGAGCCTTGGCTGCGTACTCTAGACAGGGTAGCGTTGAGCATGCCCTGCCGGATCGTGCGATGGGCACCTGCGAGAGGGGGGCGTACGAGCGAGGTTTAGCCACGTCTGCAAGGCACGAGGTAGAGTGGGACGGGGTAATTCACCTTGGCGAGTACTATATGGACAACATGGTGGAAAGTGTACTACGGGAGGTCCAAGTGCGGATACAACAGTGGTGCTTGCTGAAGAGGCCAAGCTTGAAGAGGCGCAGCGCCAGCCATGGCTACGAGGCCGCTCGATATGCCGAGAAATCATCCACCCATTGCCGCGAGGCGATGGAATGCGCAATGCGATGCGATGCGATGCGACGTTTGATGACCCGAAGACGAAGAGCTGCGTGCGGCTGAGGGAGGGGGCATACATTCAGCCTCGAGTATGTCAGCTGGAGAAGGAGCAGGGACCGTGCTTACTCACGCTTCGGGGCAGAGCTACTCCTACTGTGTAGCCCTTGACGCTGATATGGAGACTATCAACACCATCGTCTGCAAAGTACGAGCAGAGGAGGAAGACAACGGTCAGTCTCCTCGACCTGGGCAATCGGGACTCATCGAGACGATCAACTCACGGGTGGATCGCGCATGCTCGCCTCGCACGTGGTATCAGTACAAGCACAGTGGTTTTACAGCTGGATCAACGCTGCCAGAGCGATGCTGCCGGTGAGGAAAGCGGTTTGAGAGGTGGATGTCGAGGACTTGAGATGTGAATGCTCAGATTAGGGAGCGTGGACGTGGACGTGGGCGAGGGCGAGGCGTATTGCGTGTTGAGGCCAGCTCAACTCGAGATGATGGACAGGATGACGATGGCAGAGTGCTCGTGGGCGACCATGATGTGCTGTACAACAGTCGAGCGGTTGTGATGAGGTGGATGCAGGCAAGTGGATGAGGGAGAGTGCTGAGTCGATGAGGAGCGGATGGTCGAAAGTCAAGATGCAGATAGGCATGATTGCCTTCGTAACTCGTTACGGAATCCGCTCCTCCTGCCAGCTGCGCACCGGCCCGCTTGGTCCGAGGAGGAGCGAATCACCCAACGTCCAGCTTTGACGCCCTCCGCAATATTGCCCAGCTCAAGGTGATGCGCAGCAAGTCGTCTGGGCGGGCTGATCACCCAGCATCCAATCACTCGCTGCTCAGCCCCGCCGCACCTGATGATTCGCAGCAAGCCAGCCATCCGCTTTCGCTGAGTGCGTAGAAACTAATCACTCAACATCAATCACATGAATGCGCACCTCGAGCCGCTGCGCTCCGCACTTTCGTTCCTGGATGGGAGGTCGGCCGCCGACTCGCCGTCATGGCGGAGGGATCACGCCGGGCCGAACATTGTCGGGAGCCAGGCGACGCCGAATGGGGCGAAGATTGGGGCGCGAGGCGGACACGAGGTGGATAAGATGAGCTGGTAGCGAGCAACGTCCAGGTTGGGGCGCAAGAGGACCGAGGACAGAGAGCTAGGCAGGTTGCGTGCACGGACGTCTCTCGCGCTCGCCGGTCCAGGTGGTGACGATTACCACGTGGCGCGTCCGGGCTTATCCCCGGCAATGCCTCTATCCGCTCGACTGGACTTGGAGTCGCGCTTTCTTCTTGCGTTTCTCTCCACGCCATTATCATGGCCTCGACGTCGGGTGCTTCCTCATCTTCATCGCTACCCTCATGGCCTCCAGCCCTTACGCAACACCAGATTGCCTCCCTCTCCGCCCAGGCAACAGACTATGCCCTTTCGCACGGGATAGTCTATCGACCTCAGGGCTCGCCCCCCTCGTCAACACACGTGCACCATGCTCCCCTCTCCCTTTTCCCTTCGCCCTTCCCCCGTAGCGCCTTTACCGAGGCGATAAGACTCCAGCCCATCCTCAACGAGCTCTACGCCACCGTGGCTCTGGATGGCGCCTTCCTCGCCAAGGTGATCGGTGGCAACGTGGCCAAGGTAGACGACTTTACACGACGATTGTGGGGCATCTACGAGGAGGTGTACGAGGACGATAACGGGGCTGAGACTGGCGCGGTGAGTTGCGTGTGGCCGATAGGGGAGGACAATTGCGCCCGCTGCAGCCGAGGATGAGCCAACCTCATAGCATTAGAACCGCTACTCGGACGTCGCGCATACAGCGTGACAGGATGCCGACGAGACATCTGAATCAGTTTGAGGCGCAGTGTGCGGGGAATAGGGGCCAGAGTACACCTTCCACTTTGTCGCAGCGAAATGACGCTGATCCCTGTCTGTCCCCCTCGGCCGCCCAGCACTGGCACCTCGGCCTCTTCCGTAGCGACTACCTCCTTCACTCCGACTCCTCCTCCCCCTCCTCCCCGCCCTCAATCCGCCAAGTAGAGTTCAACACAATCTCCTCCTCCTTTGGTCCACTCTGCACAAAAGTGGGTGAAATGCATCGCTTCCTCCTCGACCAGACGAGCTACTACGACGCGGCGCCCGAGATCCTCAACGAGCCGTCCCTGCCCCGCAATACGGCGCTCACGGTGCTGGTCAACGGCTTGGCCGCAGCACACCGCGTGTATGCGCGAACCTGTAAGAATTGGACGCGCCACTCGTACGTAGCAGCGGGTTGTCAGGCAGGCAGGCATCACGGCGAGGACCAACTAATCGCTGACCTCCTGTACCCCTATTCTCATTCGCTGCCCGCGCAGGCTACGCATCCTCTTCATCGTGCAGGAGTCAGAGCGCAACGCCTTCGACCAACGCTGGATCGAGTACGAGCTACTCCGTGCGCACGGCATCAAATCTCTGCGCCGCACCTTCGACAACCTGGTCACGCAGCCCGACGCCATCTCCATCGGTAGCTGCCCGGCGTGGCACGACCCACGTCAGATCATCTACGTGCCCCTCGAGGGGCAGAACGTGAGAGACCACCGTTGCCCCGAGATCAGCGTCGTCTACTGGCGAGCGGGGTACACGCCGGACGACTACAAGAGCGAGAAGCACTGGCAGTTGCGTCAGGCTCTGGAGGATACGGCAGCCATCAAGTGCCCGAGCGTGCCGCTTCAGCTTGCGGGGGCCAAGAAGGTGCAGCAGGTGCTGAGCGAGCCGGGCATCGTCGAGGAGATGTTGCCGAAGCGTAGCAAGGAGGAGATCAAGGCATTGCGCGCTACGTGGTCGGATCTGTACCCTCTCGATGACTCGAAGCTGGGGACGGAGGGTTATCGATTGGCAATGGAGGAGAGCGAGCGTTTCGTTATGAAGCCGCAGAGGGAAGGTGGTGGGAATAACGTGTACCGCAGCGAGATTCCGCGCGCCCTGCGTAGGATGGAGGAGCGTGATGCGCGCGGCGGGGCAGGAAGGGATCTAGATAGCGTCAAGCAAGAGTCAGAGCCAGAAGGGCCGCCGTCATCGTCGTCATCGAGCAAGCGTCGTTCCTCGCGCAACACCGCCAAGACAACCACCACTGTCTCTGCTGCTGACTCGTCCACGCCGCGCGAACGGGAAGGGTACATCCTGATGGAGCTTATCTCCCCTCCCTCCGGGCTGGGCAACTACCTTATCCGCCCCCCTTCTGCTTCCTCCTCCTCCTCGTCCGTCGTCAAGGTCGAGGACTCTGCGGGCTCAGCGCAAACCATCCCCACCCCGCACTCGGAGAAGCTCACCGCAGCAGAATGTCGTCTCTCCCCGGATGTGGTGAGCGAGCTGGGCGTGTACGGGTGCGCCCTCTTCTCCCCGTATACCAAGGAATTTGTAGACGAGGTATTTAGCGACGTGACGCCCGAGGAAGAGGAGAGGGCAAAGAAGCGGACCTGCTGGTGGGAGAGCAGCGTAGATGATGCGAAGAATCATGGCGAGTACGATGGGGATGAGACGGAGGAGGAGAGGGCAAAGTCAGGAGGGTTGAGGGCGCCCTACCTCTTGAGGACGAAGGGGAGGGAAAGCGATGAGGGTGGGGTTGCCGTGGGGTTCAGTGTGGTGGACAGCGTTGTGTTGGTCGACTGAGACTATGTGGTGGGTGGTGCGCTGTACGCATCCTTCAGCAAATTCATCGTCATTGCCTTTCAGAGAGACCAGCGCCATGTAATCGAGGGCGAGGGCGCGGGCGAGGGCGACGTCGTAGACTGCCTGGCCCGCTTGGGCGAGCCACGTGGCGACGCCCGGCGTTGGACCGGCGGGCCGGCGGGCCTCACGAGACGTCCGTGCACGCACGAGCGGCGCTGCGCTTCTTGCCTTCGTTCCCTCCTCACCAACACGCACGACGCAATGCTCCGTTTGCCCCTCCCCCGGATGGCAGCTCGAGCATCGAGACTGGCCCCTCTGCATCGCCCGCCCCTCTGCCGCCGCCTGGCCACCACCACTTCTTCCTCCCCTCCACCGGCAAGCGACGCAGCCGGTCCTCTAGCGGGGATTCGCATCCTAGAAATGGGCCAACTGATCGCAGGCCCTTACTGCGGTCAACTCCTCGCCCATTTCGGCGCCGATGTCATCAAGCTCGAGCCTCCCGGTGTAGGTGACCCGCTGCGCGTGTGGCGCGAGCTGGACCCGGAGGACGGGGTGAGCCCGTGGTTCCGCAGTCTGGCCAGGAACAAGAGGAGTGTTACGTGTGATCTGAGGCAGGAGGAGGGGAGACGGATTGCAAGACGATTGGCCGAGGGGTGCGATGTTTTGATTGAGAAGTACGCATTGCGAGGCGAGGCGAGGCCGGCTTCGAAGGAATCGCAATCAGGCTGACTCTTCTGGGCCCCTCTCGCGCGCAGCTTCAAACCAGGCACTCTCGAACGATGGGGTCTCGGTCCCTCTGACCTGCATCCTGTCAACCCGTCGCTCATCTTCACTCGTATATCAGGGTACGGCCAGACGGGGCCCATGCGCGAGGAGCCCGGATTTGCGGCCGTATGCGAAGGGTTTGGAGGGGTGAGTGGGCGTGAGAATACGGAGGCCAGCCTGCTCTGGCAGCCAGCTTTTTGATCTAACAACCCCCCTCGCTCTCCTCGCAATGCTACTCCTTCGCCACCCCGCACGCGCAGTTCCGCTTCGTCAACGGCGCGGTCGACTCCTCTGGCCAGCTCAGTGGCGCTCCTATTCGCCCCAACATCTCGCTCGGAGACTCCCTCGCCGGGCTGCACGCCGCCTTTGGCACCGTGATGGCTTTGCTTGCGCGGGGCAAGGTCAAGCCAGGGGAGAAGAGCGGACAGACCGTCGATGTAGCCATCTATGAGGCCGTCTTGTCGATGATGGAGGGGTGGGTTCGCGACACGGTGCGAAGAGCAGTAGACCAGATTTGTTTGCTGACATACCCGCACACGCGCACGCGCAGCTTGATCCCAGCGTATTCGAGGACAGGCGCCATTCGCGGTCCATCCGGAGCTGTACGTGTAGCGCTGCCCTTTGCGCTCCCCTCTCATTTATCACTCACCCCTTCTCGCCCACCGCACAGGGAGTCACGGGCATCGTCCCCACCTCAGCCTTCCCAACCTCGGAGCCCTCTCAGCACGTTATAATCGGCGGAAACGGGGACAGCATCTACGCACGCCTGATGACGGCCATCGGTCGGCAAGATCTCGTCGGGGAACGCTACGCGAACAATTCGGCTCGCGTCGCCCACCAGGCCGAGATCGAAGGCGCAATCAGCGAGTGGACCTCACGCTACACAGTCGACGAAGTCCTCGCTACCATGCGCGAGGCCCGTGTCCCCGCAGGCAGGATAAACGATGTAGCCCACCTGGTTGCGGACCCTCATGTCCAAGCGCGAGGGATGGTGGAGCGTGTCCCCTTCTATAGCGAGCGACTAGGCAAGGGGTGGGAGATCGATATGCCTGGCGTTTCGCCCGTCTTGGAGCGAGGGGGTCAGGGGACGCGTTGGGCTGGAAAGGATCTGGGAGAGGATAATGAGGCGATGTTGGGCGGGGAGTTGGGGGTGAGTCAAGAGGAGATGCAGGCGCTTAGGGAGAAGGGAGTCATCTAGGGCGGCGTGCATGGCGGCGTGCATGGCGGCGTGCAGGGCGGCGTACCGGGGTATCATTGTGCGCGCGGCGTCGTAATGCTAGTCGTCGTCGTCGCCGCCGCCGTCGTCGCGCTCCTCCTCGTCCTCATCATCACCTCGCCGGCGGCGGCGCGAGATGTACGACCACCTCGGCCCTCACAGGCTTATGATCGCTCAGCAGCACTGCCCCCTCGCAGTCATACGCGTTCAAGCTCCAATCACGGCTGCCGTGCACGAGCACGCGATCCGTCCACGAGGGGACGCGCTGTTTCTCCGACGTGTCGTAGTGCGAGGTGCCTACGTCGAATTTGTACTGGCGGGGCGGTAGTGGTAGTGCGACGAGAAGAGTCAGAATGAACTCAATGCCCTACGAAAATTACGTGCTTCACGGGCGCGCGCGCTCTCACCGTAGGAGGGAATGCTAGCTCGCCCACCTCTCTCCAGCCATGCCAGCTCTGCAAGGCCAACAGCCGCGTCTCGTCCGTCTCCACCAGAGAGATGCCCTTTGCCGCTGACCCCGCCTCGTTCTCGCTCAAGTGCGCTCGTAGCTCGTCGTACCCCTGCAGCATCTGCATCCCGACTTTGCCCCGGCGGAGGAGGCGTTGTACCTGGTACGAGGAGAGGGAGAGGGGCAAGCGAGAGTTGAGGTCCCCGAATAGGAGGGTGTAGCTGTGCGTGAGGGCAGGCGAGAGGGATGTCAGGACGAGACTGCGCGGCTGAGAGGCGGAGACCACGCGCGACTCACTCGTGATCTCGCAGACCGAGCTTGATAGTCGGGACCGACTCGCCACCCTCGCTGCTGCTGCTGCTGCTGCTGCTGCTGCTACTGTTCGAGCTCGACTCGCCCTCCCCCGCGCGCACCGCTTCGTGCACCGCCTCGCGCACCGGCATCTCGAAGCGCAATCGCCTCTCCAGCTCGGCCCAATCCCACACGCGTCGCTCCATAGCGATCCTCCCCGCTCCAGCAGAAAGGTGTGCGGTAACAAAGCAGAGGGTCGCCTGCGCCTGCGCTTGTGCCTGCGCCTGTGCCTGTCCCGCCTCTTGGCCGCGCGCACGCACCCTCATTCTCGCCGCCACCCCTCCCTTGTTCGCCATGAAGCCGCCTAATCCTACGCCTACGGACGCAAGAGCTACCTCGTCCACGACGAGTCGTCGCTCCGAGCTGACGGGGACGCGCTCGTACACAAGAAGGAGGATGGTCACGTGTTGCTTGACGGCTCGGAGCTCCCATCTACCCTCCTGTTCCTCCTCACCCTCCCCCTCGCCCCGCGCAAGGTGTCGATTTACGGCGCTGATCCACGCAGCCTGTCGCGCTGGGTCGAACCAGATGTAGGCGGAGGAGGACGTGTCCACTTCCTGGAGGCCGATGGCGAGGAGATCGCTTTGCTGGAGGGAGGGGCGGGTGAGGAAGGTGAGGGGGAGGTCGAGAGGGGAGGAGGGAGGGAGAGCCCCGCCTACATTGTAGGTTATTACTGTTAGGCGGAGTGAGGAGGAAGGGGGTGGTGCAGCAGGAAGAGGAGCGCTCGATGAGGTGGTGGTGGTGGTGGTGGCGACTGTGCACGTACGTGGGCTCTTTGTCAGCTCTACGTCAGAAATCACACCTCTCACTCATCGCAGGCTGCTCGCCGCTCGCCGCACTCACACCGACTGTAGATTGGTCTCTTGCCCCTCTCCCTCGCCTCGCCCAGCACCCGCTTCACACCGGCAAAGACCTCCCCGCTACCGGCGTATCGCTTCAGCCACGCCCACCTGGTGAGTAGCAGCAACGTCTCGTCATCTCCCGCCTTATGCCGCGACCCGCTCGCGCCCAGCGCATCGAGGAGTAAGCGCAGGTCCTGCAACAGTAGCACATTCGGGGACGACCCCTCAATGCGCGATGCGCCCGCAGAGACGCTGATCTGCGTAGGCGAGTCGCTCTTGACGTCGAGGAGATGCGAGATGAGCGGAAGTGCCGCGACTGTGCAATCTCGCGCTGTGTCGTAGAGCAACAAGGCACTCGCCTCGACATCGTTGCTGATCGTCGAGACGAGGACCAGCAAGGAGTCGATGTGCAGGTCTTGCTCGCCGTCCCTATCCTCTCTCAGCTCGCACACGCCCGACGCAAACGGCACGACGATCTTGATGTGGTCGCGCGGACCTAGCAGGTCGAGGAGAGTGGCTGGAGGGGCAGGGATGGCGTCCATCTCGCAATAGGAGGTGGTTGGGGCGGGTTGGATTGAAGAGGCGAGCGAGTGTTGGACGCCGAGCCCCGTCCGTGCCTGCCTGCCTGTGCCTGGTCCGCCCGCCCGCCTCCACTCCTCGCGGGAGAGCCACGCGAGCGAGTCCGCCCCGCCCGTCCATCTCGACGACAAGTCGAGTCTCTGGCCGCGCTCCTCGCTCACTCGGTTAGTCATCAGCCACCAATCGACAGACACAACACCACCACATCCTCATCCACGACTCGCGACTAGCCATGGCCGGTCGCGCAATCGTCAGGGGCTCCGTGGGATTTGCAGGGATCATTGGCTTTGGCTGGGTGATCATGAAGGGTGAGACTGGCACGATGCCAGGTTGCACGGGGCTACATGCTGACCCTCGTTGCACTCTCGCGCAGCCTCAACACCTACGGAGCAGCAATTCTACGACGTGAGCGCGGCGAGCGGCGAGTACTGATGAGTATCAAGACTGACATCCTGTCATCTCTTTCTGCGCCGCCGCAGCGCCTCTCTCCCGAACTCAAGAAGCAGGTAGACGCACAGAGACAGGCAGCAAGCCGAAAGGCCGCATACGCTCAGCAGCTCGAGGTGAGGGGCGACGCGAGCGATGCCCCATGTGACGTCTTGTGAGATGCTGACGTTCATTTCCTGCTGCGCGTCCGCACAGCTCGCAAAGCAGTCGGAATCAGCAGAAGCGCCACAATGGGCTGCTCAGGCGGCGCAAAAGGGAAGGGACAGTACGCCTCCTCCCAAGCAATGAGAGGCGGAGAAGCGATACGAACGCCAGAGTGGGCAAGGTGTAGAGATAGCGGCGGGGGACAAATACCAATCAGTGTAGCATCACAACAACGCAAAAGCACCTCTCGTCGCCCCGTCGAAGCAGACGTCTCCGCGCTTTGATGACTGACCCTCTCCCGAGTTGAAGAAGGCGGAGGACCCCTCGTTTGCATCGCCTACTCGCCCCCAGCAAAGGCAAGAATCAGCGTTAGTCCTGTTGAATGTAGGTCATCGTAAGGAGTCACGCATGCACCCCTGTATAGAAAGAGGCCTCCAACTACGCCGTTTGCAGCCAACTACGCCGTTTGCAGAGCAGAAAGCGACGACCCGTTGGCGCTTTTATGCGCCCTTTACTGAATAGAAGGAGGCAAAGGGGCGCGAGAAGAGCTGTCCTAGGTCGATGGAGGGAGAGAAGCTTTCCATGACCAGAGAGCGTGAAAGGGGCTTCCCTGACTAGTAAGCGCGAGAGAAGCTTTCCTGACCAGAGAGCATCGATGGGTTTTCAGACCAGAAGGACTAAGGGGCAAGGCCTTTCCTAACCAGCAAGCGAGAAGAACGAAGGAGCTTCCCTAAGCAGCGAGCAAGCCCTGTCCTCCAGCCAGAAGAGACCAGAAAATTGCCATGTCGCCATCTCAACGCTCACTTTCCCCTACGTAGAAGGCGCTAACCAACATCGAGAGCCAGGCAGAAGCGAAATGCAGCGCATCTTCTCTGAGCAGAATACCGGACGGTGCTGTGCAGACAGATGCGAGGAGCACTCTCCTGACCAGACCGAAAGCATAGTAGACCTCCTCATGAGGGCCGGGTAGATGAGAGCTTAGCCCTCTTCCGAAGCCAGACGCAGAGGAGAGCGCCAAAGTCTCCCCTCCGCCCAATCGACAGATGAGGGATGTGGTGCGGCGGCCTTGCTCCCATTCGAGCCGTGCCAGAATAGCGATTGCAACGCCCGTCTACTCGCCGATGCGCACACAGCTACGATTGTCCGCATTCGTGCTCCCGTGAGCAGAAGAAGAGAGAAACAGGATCGCACTTTTCCTGAGTCCTGGACTAAGAGCGAAGCTGGTCGAGGGCAACGACTTTCCCGAGTCGAAAGCGGCGAGAAAATAGGCGCGCTATGAGTGAACAGCAAGGCGCACTTTCCAGGGTAGGAGGCGCTACAGCAACCAGCGAGAAGCGAATCAGATGGCGTTGCTTTCACTTTGCGAGTCGCTCACGCGCCGAGATGGGGAGGAAGCAGAGCGCCTTTCCCCTGACTAAAAGGGGCGCACGCAATTCTAATTCCCTCGAGGAGCTAGCGAGAAGGCACCATGGTCATGTCGCTGAACAAGGGGATGCGCTCGCACCGAGAGAGGCCGAACAAGTAGCGACCCACTTTCCCGAGTCGAGTCGAGTCGAATCGAATGCCATCAGTCCAGCTCCTCGCTCCGTGGCGATCGAAGGCGGCTGCCCTCCACGCGGCAAAGTCGAAGTCAAAGAAGACGAGCTCGGCGAGAGAAGCACCGCCTAGCTCATGCCCGTCTCGTCTCGTCTCGCCTCATGCCGTCTCTGCCTCTTGAGCTCTCGACTTCTCCGCTCACGACTTGCGTCTCACGTCCCACGACTCGGCGTCTCGAACCTGAACCGCAACGATGCGTCTTGCTCCGATCGAAAAGCGTACTCTACACGAGTAGATGAAGGAGGTCTTGGCTTGGTATCAAATCGTGCGTGCACGGTGCACGGTCTTGCGGCGACTTTTCCCTTCTTTGCCAGGCCTGCCTTGCCGGTCTCGACCCTCGTCCCGCTGCGCGCTTGCTGTGAGCGAACGAACGCTCGTGGTGTGTGTGTATGTGAGACGATTATCATGCTGCTTCGCGGATGTTCGCTCGAAATAGACGATACGACACGGCACGACACGATGCGTTCTGCCTTCGTTCGGCGCAGCGCTGCGCCCACGCCCGCGTGCGTCTCGCTCGAGGGAAGGGTCGTACCCTATTAGGCGCTTTACGCTCAAATCGGGCGGGCGCACTTGCCTCCTTGCGAGGGCGTACTTGCTCCTCGGCAAGTCGGGTGCGAGCACAGCACAGCATTAAAGTCCCGACGACGGGCGGGGCGAGGTGAGGCGAGGCGAGGCGAGGATAGGATGGAAGGCGTGGACGGGAAGGCGTGGACGTGGGACATTACAGAAACGTTCCAAGGAGGCGAGAGAGAAGGACGCACGGGCTACCGATATTGCCACCGAGATTGGGATCGAGTTTCCACGCCCCTCGTCTCGTCTGGTCTCGTCTGGCCTCGTCTGGTCTCGTCTTGACGTCGAAAGGGCTAGACGTTGCGTTTGCGATGTTCTCACCCACGCTCAGCCTTGGCAACAAAAGACCCGCCTGTCTCTGCGCCACCCCTCTGCGCCGCTGCCGGGGGCCCTGCGTTCGAATGACACGCAGGTGCGACGGGACCCCTGCCACCACTGCACCACATGACATATCGGGTCGAGCGAGACCCGTTCGAGGGGCCGTGGTTACATTGCGACGGGACGAATGCGCTCACTTTTTGCTTCCATCGCCTGTGGCGAGGACGTCGAGTCGAGAAGCAGCGGCTTACCCTCGAAGCGGCTTACCCTCGAAGCGGCTTGCCCTCGAAGCGGCTTGCCCTCGAAGCGGCTTACCATCTCTTTTCGCTTCTTCTCCTCTCCCTCACCATTCCATCCCATCCCAATCCCATCGCCTCGCTCGCCGCCCGCCCTCGCCCTCCAACGTCATCCTCTCTCGCCCTCTCGGTGCTTGGCTCTTGCCGATCAGGCACCGCTTCTGCCGCCCGCCTGCCCCGCTCGCAGCGCCCGCCTGTCATTTGTTTGTGTGGCCGCCGCCGCCGCCGCCGTCGCGCTTGGCCCGTCCGTCCCTCTTTCGCCGCCCCGTGGTGAGCCTGGGCCCTTTTTTGACTTTCCTCTTTTTTTTTGGTTGGTTGTTTTCTCTGCCCTTTTCCAGACTCAGCGTGTGAAGCCCATCGCGCACCGCACCGCCTCGCCCGCGCCGCACCGCTCGCTGCCTGCCTGCCTGCCTGCGTGCTTGTCAACCAACACAGCGGAGCAGAACGACGACGCAAGACGCGAGCAAGCAAGCAAGCAAGCACGGACGGAGAGACCAATCGACCGACCGACCGACCGAAGGGCCTGCCTGCTGCGCGGACGGCCGCTCGCTCTCGTCAAGTGAAGGTGAGTTGCAGGCGGCGCAGGGCGCAGATTGGACTTTGGGCCGATTTCCATTCCATCCAATCAGCGCTCCCCTTGTCATCGCATCGCCCTCGCCATCCATCGTGCAGCGAAGGGGGTGCGACTACCCAGAGTCTTTGGGACGACGAACACGACGAGCTGGCTCGACGACCTCGATACGAACGGACGACGCCCGCGACTTGTACGCTTACGCCCACGCACAAGCCCACGCCCACGACTCGCGCTCGCCACACGATCCACCCACGCATCTCCCGTTCGGGCCTCGGGGCAGCGAAGACGCTTCACGCTCGACGCTCTACGCCTCACACGTCGTCACGCCTCCGTCGATCCGAGCTTTCTCTACGCTCAGATCTCGATTCGAAAGCGGTAGGCGGACGTGAGAACGGCCCGGCCTAGGACCAGCTGTTCGCAGCCCAGTTCGCGAGCCTACGTCGTGGACGTGGACGACGACGGCGACGTTTCTGCTTGCTACCAACCTCGTCGACGCATCTCTGTTCCTCCTCATCCTCACGCTTCGCCGATCCGTCACACGTGGTCACTTTTCCTGACGCAACGTTCTGCTCCTCGCCCTCTGCGACGTCATCATCAGCATCGCCACCTTGGCCCACAAGTGAGTAGCAGGTAATGTCCGGCGGCGGATGAGGCTTTCGAGTGCGGACGGGGGGGAAGGGCTCGGCGGACGGGGGAAAGGGCGGTCCAATGGCTCGGCATAGGGCGGCCATCTCTCGCCCTCGTGCCACTTGCAAGCCGCTATCCCGCCGCCCGCCCTCATTGCCGTCGCCGTCGCCTCCGTCGTCACCCTCGTTGACCGACCGGCCAGATTGGCAGTGAATGTGGAAGCGACGCCGACGCCGAAGGGGCGTGGGGCTGTCGTTTGCGCTTGCTCTTGCGCTGCTGCTGGAGAATCCATCAACTGACGTCGACTTTCCTTCGCTTCCACTCCACTCCACTCGACTCGACTTCCTCTCCTCGCCGCACGCAGCTCTCGTAGCTCCGGCTGTCAGAGGGCATGTCCACATCGACGGCGCTGCAGCAGGACCACCATCATTCGAGACTATACAGCAATCACCACCCACCACGTCCACGACACTTTGCGATTCCGTCCCTCCACGCCGCATCGCCACGCATGCAGCACCCGCCGCCCGCCGTCGAGGCAGAGGGCAGGCCGCGTGGTAGCAGCAGCAGCAGTAGCAGCAACAGTAGTCGTAGCAGTAGCAGCGCCGCGAGGTCGCCCTCCATGTCAAGGCCAGCCAGTCGCGCCAGTCGAATGCAGTCCCCGCCATTGAAGAGGGCCACGCGCGAGGAGAGCGCCGAGGAGCGTGGTGCTTCTCACAAGGTGCCAAAGATGGAGGGCGAAGCAGATGTTACCACTGGCGCAGGCGCCGGTCCTACGTCGTCACCTCCGTCTCAGCCACATCGCGAGCAGCGTAACTACACTTGGCAGCCGCCCTCGAGCGCAGCTACGGGCAGCTTGATGAGCATCACCACCATCAGCTCGCCCGTCAGGAGTGGCGGAGGCGGCGGCTCATCGACGGCGCAGGAACGTACCCACTTCTCACCTCTGCCATCCCGCAGTCGCTTGCCCGGCATCGCGAGCCTGTCTGCTCGCCCTACATCCCCACCGCCTCAAGTAGCCCGCGTCAACGCCCCTCGCAGCTTCGTGGCAGCAAATCCAGGCCCCTCCTCGAACGTCGCCATGCTCGCCACTCGGAGCGCATTTCCTTCTTCTTCCTCGTCTCCACGCTCCACCTCCGCACTCCCTCCCATCACAACAGCAGCAGCAGCGACAGCGGCGGGCCCCTCTACCTCGGCAGCGCAGTACGGGTCAGGCAGTCTTCCCACACCGCTACAACCAGCGGGAAGCGCCTCCCCCTCGCTCACGGCACAGCAACTCTCTGGCTGCCCGCCGATCCACCCAGCCCTCACCGGCCTGCCCGGCTCGGGCTCTGGTCCAGGCAATAAGCAGCAGCCTTCCTTTGTCGCCAAGCTCTACTCCATGCTCGAGGACGAAGCCACAGGGGAGATGATCACCTGGGGTCCACAGGGAGACGTCTTCTCCGTAGCCAACCCTGCCGAGTTCTCCCGCGTCGTCCTGCCCGTCTGGTTCAAGCATGCAAATTGGCAAAGCTTCGTCCGCCAGCTCAACATGTACGGCTTCCACAAGGTGAACCACACCTTCTCTGGCGCGCCCAATGAGGAGGTACAAATCTGGGAGTTCAAGCATCCGTCCTTTCGCAGGGGAGAGGTGGCCCTCTTGGCCGAGATTAAGCGCAAGTCGTCGCGACACAAGCGCACAGGCAGTACGAGCCAGAGCTTCAGTGGATCACTGCACGGCGTAGACTTTGATGGGAGGATGCGATCGCGCAGCTCGACGCCCGTCGACCCTTACGAGGCGGCAGGAGCCCTCCCGCCAGGCTACATGGGCGGCGAGGACCCGCGCTACGCAGCACGACCTGACTTTGGAGCGGGCGAGGCGTTCCCCGGCCAGCACCCCGCGGCCCACGCTCGCGTGCGCAGCTTGACTGACGCGGCCATGCGCGGCGAGCGGGCCATGGTGCAGCAGCAGCAGCAGCAGCAGCAGCAGCAGCGGGCACCGATGAGCAATCCGGCGGCGGCAGCATGGGGTGCGCCCCTCCCCTCTGGCCACGCTAAGGCGGCCAGTATTGCCATCGGCCCGCCCCCCTCCCACCCATCCTACGCAGGCGGCGCTGAGTCCGGTCCATCCCATGTCAACGTCAACGTCGAGCAAGGAGACCCCACGGGCGCGGGTGCGAGTGCGGGCGCATCCTCCGTACCGGACCGCATCGACGCCATCATCCGACACAGCGACTACCTCGAGAAGCAAGTGCGCGCTCTATCGGACAACGTCCGTCTCCTCACCGAAGAGCTCCACGCCGTATCCCGCGAAGAGGCAACGGGGAAAGCCCACTTGCTACGCCTCGTGCATCGATTGGCGGGAGTCGTAGCCCTCAGCCCGAATGCAAATGCGAGCGCGGCGGGCGCATCGTCGGGGGGTCAGGAGGCGGCGCAGCGTCGTCAGATGTTGGACGTGTACCAGAGCGAGATCACTAGCTTGGCACATTACCTCGGCATCGATACTGGATTCATCAACGTCACTGCAGGCAGTGGCGGCGGTGCCACTGCGCCCGGATCTATGTCCTCTCCGCCTCCCCTCCCGGCCACGGCTGCGGCTGCGGCTGCGAGCGCTGGGGGTTCGCGGTCATCCAACCTGCCTCCCCCACCGCCTCCGCGCGCGCCGGCTCCTCATCATCGCGCTGGTGCTGGAGGATCCTTTTCCTTTCCACGACGTTGAGCCGAGCGGCGCGGCGCCAAGCTCTACGTCTTCTCTCCCGTCTCCTCGTCCCTGCCTCCGTCCTCGTATCTGCGCTTGTGCTCTGTCATCTGTCTCTCGCCTCTCACTCACTCATCACGCCTCACGCCTTTCACTCATCACGCGATCCTGTAGCCACCACAATATGCTGTAATTGACAACCCGCGATAGCAGCGCGAAAATGCGATGCGACGATTTGAGGCTCTATTCTCGCACCGTGCGCACCGTGCTACCAGTCCACGCCAAGCAGCGCGCTCCCACCTGGAGCCCGCTCGATCTCGCTCAATCGCCTCGCCATCCAATCGTCACTCCCGTTGCTCCCGCTCGCAGCAGACTCTGCCGCCGCAAAGCGATGCTGCGGCGCTCGCCGTGGTTCAACGTCGGGCACACGAGGGCGTAGACGCTGGATCGGCGCGACGGCAGTCGGGACCGGAGCCGTGGCCGTGTTGGCGGCCGAGACGCTACGTTGTCGACGCACGCTCACCCGACGGGGCAGGCTGGTTAGAGCTGCCCCTTCGTCCTGCGAGAGGACTGCCCCGATCGACGCGCTGCGTTGGTGTCGCGGCGAGGCGGGAGGAGCTGCGGCCGGCTGGCCCTCCGCGCCGCCGCCGAGGAAACGTCGGATCCCCAACGACCCGTTGCCCGCACTCGTCGGCCTCTCGCCACACGTCGTTGTAGATGCGCCTGTTGACCCTCGCGATCTCCCTCCACGCTCCAGCGTCTGTACAGTTGTCCAGTCTACGCTGGACTGCCCTCGTATCGCTGCACCCGCCATGCTGTCCGTCGAGAGGGCCCGCTTCATGGAAACGGGCGAGTGCGGTGTGCTCATCATCTCTACGGCCTCGATATCCTCTACCTTCCTTCGTGAGGGGCTACGCGGGTGCAGCAAAGAAGCAAACCTCGCCGTCATCGGCGAAGCGGCAGGGCTGTGCGTCCCCTTCTCGACGTCGACATCGTCATCGTATGACCACCTCGCCTCGCCCTCCTCGCTGATGCCGGGCACGCCGCATACGCCCGGATATCTGGCCCGCAACTCGGAGGCGACGCTTCGCTCAAACTGTTCCGCCTGCCTGCCCCGGATCAGCATCATCTGCGCCTTGCTGAAAAGCGAGTAAGGGACGTAGACGAAGGGTACGTTCGGGCTGACCTGGTCCGTGGGGATTGCTTGACTCGCATCGATCAACGGGTGTGCACCATCGCCGCGTTGCAGGTCCGCCCTCTCATCGGGTAACACCGCCTGCACGACGATCATCTGCGCCGGGTCCGTACTACCGTCGAGACTCGAGGGCACCTCGAGGATATCCGCCGAGAGACGCGCCGTAGACTTGAGTTGAGGGTAGAAACGCATGCTGTTCTCGAGCGCCTCAAGCGCAACGCCCAACGCTCGCTGGAACGAGGCCATCGTGTCGAGCGAGTCGCTCTCCGCCGCGAGGTTGCGCTCCTCGTCCTCCTCATCGTCGTCGCGAGCGCCGCGCAAGGCCTCGCGAGAAGAGCGAACGGCAGAGAGGGATTTCAGGCGCTCGCTCGCCTTGTTGGCTTCGCGGTGGCACGTCTCCGTGGCGTCCTCGAGGGTCATGCGATCCAGCAGCTTGACCCAGTAACGGATCTGCGGCGTTATTCCCTCGACTTTCGGAAGGCGGTACGCCGGGATCTGGTGGCGGGCAAACCCGTACACCAGGCTGTGCGGGCGTGGAGCAGGCAAGGTGGGTCAGCGTCCATCTCCACACCTCTACGATCGCGCCGCGCCGCGCCGCGCCTACTCACGCTTCGAGCCCGCCGTACTGCGTCGTCGATGCTCGCACGCCGAACAGCCCCACGTAAACAGCCGGACCTGGCTGCACCACCGGCCTGGTCCCTCTCCGCGCGTACATCTTGAGTCGCCCCAGCCATGCCTCCATGTCCTTCTTCTGCACCGCGTAATGGTTTGCAAGGTGGCTCCCCAAGAAGCGCACATCCGTCATGCGATACCCGCGCTGCAGGTAGCGCTCCTCCGACTCGCGCGACGTCGCATCATCTGACATGCGTCGCACAAGGAAGAGCATGGCCCCCTCGTTCTCTTTTTCACCCTCGGCAAAGATGGACGGCGGTCGACGATACACGCCCGATTCGGAAGCGTCCTCGCTGCTCGTCGTCTGGCTGCCATGCAGCGAGATGCCCGCCTCGCGCGCAGCCTGCTCTGCGGCCCTGCGCGTGCCCGTAGGCATCACCTGGTCGTAGAGGACGCCAATCCGCTGAAAAGGCACGTCGAGTTGCACGGCCAATTGCCCCGCCGCGTCGATGAAGCGGTCGCGAAAGTCGGCCAGGGCTTGTGGACTTCCCGGTGCGCCCGGACCCCCATCCAAGCTGCGGCGTCGCTCCACGAGGCGGCTCCAGAAGGTAGAAGCGTTCCCCGATCTCTCAGGCTTGACGGCGTGCTCCAGCGCGAAGAGACGCATCGAGATGGCCTTGAGGAAGTCACTGACCATATCCCAGTCCCAGCTGACGGCGTACATCCATTGGAAAGTGCTCTGTCTGCGGTCCAGCGCCGTGAGGACCTCGCTGTGCCGCATAGGCGTCTCGATGACTACCATGGGAAGCGTGCCGTCCTCTTTCACCAGTAGCTGGCCCTGCTTGTTGAACGTCGCCGAGCAAATGACGACTTTGCGCGCATTCTGGCGGGAGCGCTTGGCGACGAGGGTGTCGACGAGGGTGATGGCGAGGGAGAGGAGCAGGAAGAAGGCGCACATCACGGACGCGGCTACGAGGACTTGCGACTCGTTGCTGTGTCCGAGGGCTGCGACCTCGTTGACCAGATCAGCGCGAACGCGGTACCTGCGGCGGGCGGAGGGGCAGCGTGAGGTGAGTGCGGCCCTCTTCTTCTGCGTGTCATCGCTCGCACGCACTTGGTGCCTGCCATGCCCGTGTAATGCATCGACGAGACGGCTACGGCGAGGGCAAAGGCGCACAAGGCCCGCTTCCACCATCCATCGTCCCAGTGCGCCTTGAAGCGGAAGAAGAGCGTCAAGGCCACCGTTGCGGCGGCCATTGCGAGAAGGATCGAGACGACCAAGACGGCTGGCTGGTACTCGACATGGAAGTTGCGCGTCCGGAACGATGCGCCTGACGCGGAGAGGGGAAGAGAAGGATGGGTCAGCTCGCCCAGCACACTCACGCGTGTCGCGGGCCGGCTCAGCTCACTGTAGTGCATGAAACCAATCGTAGCCCCCGTCGCTACGCCCGAGACGATGGCCCTCCAATATCGAAACGTCGTAAAGTCCAGGAGGAAGAAGGCGATGCATAGCGCCAGCAGCGGAACGATCAAGCTCAACGCCGTAAAGGCTGCACTGAACCCCACATGCCAATCCACATCTGGCGTGGGCTTCAATGTCATGCTGAACATGCCGATGCCGTGCATTCCCCAGATGCCTACGGCCGACTGCGCCATTGCTGCGAGGAAGAGGAGGGCGATATTGCGCGCCCCTTTGGAGGAGGTGCGCTTACCCAGAAGCAACAGGGCGGACCATGCTCCCAAGAAGGCGACGACTATAGATGCTACGACGACGCCCGCGGAGAAGTGTTGCGGGACTGGCGTGTGGATGTAGTGCTCCGCGAGGGCAGTCATGTCTGCGTGCGAGGAGGAGCAGGTCAGCATTATCACAAGGAGGACGGGCGTGCACGCCACACACTTACTTCTCTGCCCGTCAGCCGGCATGGCGGCAGGATCCATGGTGGGCGACGCGGCGGTGGTATCGAGGTGAGGAGAGAAAGAGTGGTGAAGAAGAAGAAGAAGGAGTCGCCGCTCGCTACGCTACAATATCAAAGCGACATCGCCCCTCTCGTATCGATCAAATGAATGAATCAACGAACGAAGTGTGGGCGTGCGCAACTCTTGGCCCTGAACCCCCTTCCCGCGATTGCGAGATGCGATTGAACAAAGACGAGGCACACTAAAAGCGAACAAGCGTGGGATCTCGCTCGCACGTACGTACGCCCACCTGCTTGCTTGCTTGCTTGCTTGCCTACCTTGCCTGCCTTGCTTCCTGGCCTCGCTCACTTGCTGCTGCAGCAAGGCGAAGACGGGCCGGCTCACTCCTGCCTGCGTGATGCGTGAGAGCTATTAAGTTTGTGAGAAGCAAACGGCTGTCGCTGCCGCTGCTCCTGCTGCCGCTGCCGTGATTTGCGTGGGTGCTGGCTGTGTGCGGGAAGCTGATGCTGCTGCGTGCAGGCGGGCGGGCAGGCAGGCAGGGGGGAAGGGGCTCGGAGCAAGGAGTGAATGGGGGGGGCCACGGGACCTGAGTGGGTGGTGGTAACGAAGAGGAAGAAACGATTCGGGGGTCACACGAGGTCTTCGCGCCTCCCCTTTGGTTGCTTCAGGAACCCGAAGCCCAACTTCACTTGGCCGTCTCCCGTCTCCTTCTCCGCCGCCACCCACCGACCGCCCGACCAAATATTGCTCCGAAGAACGAGTGTCGTCGTTGATGGTAAAACGCGGTCCGCGAACGGCTCGCTCCCTTTTGCCGCCTCTTTCTATCTGAGGTCTGGTCTGGACCCCGCTCGCTGGCTCACTGATCCGCTCGTAGACGACGTACCGAATGCAATGCATCGAGCAAGAGCAGGTCAATGAGGCAACGCCGCAAGCAGGGCCGCAAGGAGCCATCCCTCCCTTCCTTGCCCTGCCCTGGCCTGGCCTGTCTGTCGTGCCCTGCCTGCCCTTTTGTTTCGGGGTTCCAAACTTTAAATGTGGCGTGGGGACTGGATATGAGGCACGGAGCTACACGCGGTACACGGAGAGGAGAGGAGATGCTGGGTCGGTCATTACGTTGGGCAACGCTTCGGTACGTTGATACGCAGCCCGAAAGACGGTGCGCGAGGCGAGAGGAAGCCGGTGCGGTGCGGTGCTTTTGGTCAAGGTTGGGGGCAAGGGTTCGATGTGCGCGGGGTTGAGAGAGATAGCGTGGGCTTAGCGTGTGTGCGCGAGGGCGCGGGAGTGGACCTCTCTCCTCAAGGTCAGGCGAAGAGCAACCGCGTGGCAGGGTGTGCGGGGATCTAGATGATGACATACGCAGAACAAGACGTCTAGGTGTGCATGAGAAGAACAAGAAGCACACACACGTCTAGCCACGCATGGGAGGAAGTGGCCTCACCTCCTGTACCTCGCTCGCAGTCCCCTGCAACGCCTCGCCCGCAGCCCTCGCCGTGCCTGGCAACAGGGCATGCTCCCTCATCTGATCCTCGGCCGTCACGTCGTGCGCGTGAGCCGCTCCGCCTCCGTTCATCGCCCGCTCCTCCCCATCCCCATCGTCATCGCCCATCCTAGCCGCCGCCGCCGCCTCCTCTCGCTCCTCCGCCTCAGCCTCAGCCTCAGCTTCAGCAATCGCCCCGGCTCCACTCTCCATGCTAGCCGCAAAATCGGCATGACGCTGTCTCTCAGTCAAGGCCTGGGAGAGCGGGATGGACTGCGGGACTACATCCATGAGGAACTCGAGGTGCGGCGTACTCTTGATGGCGCGGGATACGTCCCGGTACACGACGGCTTTGCGCTTGTCTAGGCGTGCTTGTGTGTAGGCGGATTCGACGAGGTGGTGAATGTAGATTTCCTGCCAGGCGACGCGCGAGAAGAAAGAAGGGATAACGTCAGCTACTGCCATTTCGAAGCACGAAGACTGCTTGCGGCTCGCGCGCACGCACACATGCCTTGCCGATGGCGAAGGTGGCCTCTTTCCCACAGGCGTCCACATCCGGGTCGCTGAGGATGATCTTCTTGACTCTGGCAGTAGGAAGTTGTGAAGTACCCGGCTTGCGTGATGCTCGCAGTGCTGCAGCGATGGTGTGAGGTCCTCCTTTGCGTGGAAGGGTCTTTGGACCTTTCTGCTTGCCCATTGTGAGGTTGGCGGCATTGGGGTTGGAAGGACCAGCTTCGGCTTCCACGCGCGCCTCTTCGTCCTCATCTCCGTCGCCTTCGCCCTCCTCGCCCGCACTATCCTCGCCAATGTCCTCGACATCATCGTCATCCGCTGCGGCTGCTTCTGTCTCCTCGTCCTGAGCTCCTCGCCCCGCTTCTTCCTCCTCTGCTTCGGCGCCGACTTCGGGCTGTATCGCCTCGCCTGCTGGTGGAGTGGAGCCAGGAGCGTCCAGCTCGTTGCCGCCTATGTTTCCCGTGAGGGCTGAAGAGGGGATGGAGGCCATGCTGGTCGCGGACGAGAAGGCAATGACTGAGTTGTGGTGGAGACGAGGATGAATGCAATCCGCTGCGTGTCTCTCTCTCTCTCCGCGCCCGCCGCGTGTCTCTCTGTCCGCGTGTCGAGACGCGCTCGTCCAATCAAGACAAAGTGCAAGCAGCAACACGCACTCTCCCTTTACTCGACATGGATCAACGCAGAGAGGCTGCTGCGCCTCGTTCTTCGAGCGCCACGGGAGCAGTGGGGCATCGTCCCTCCGACGAGGGATTCGAAAGTGCGTTGCCTCCCCCTTCTTCTACTAGGCTGCTCGCATTCATGCTGACCCCTCCATCGTCTTCCTCACTCGCTAGTCCTCGACGATCTATCCCGCCTACTCCAGACGGGACTCACACGCTCAGAGCTCAAGGCCTGCATCAATCTCCTCCAGCAAGGGCAGAGCGCTGATGGTCTGGCGGTGAGTATCGCGGCGTACGAGTGGAGAGGTGCGCGTAGGCGGGGGGGGGGGGGGAAAGAGGCTGATGCTAATCTCCACTCTTTTTCCCCCCACACCCGCAGAAGGTCGTCCAGGACTTGAGGGCAGAGGCTGAAAAGTGAGGGTGTGAGGGCATGGCTACACAATCGCCTCCTCCCACCTCATCACAGCCAGCATCAAGTCAAGAAGCGGACGCAGCATACATTGTCCTTCGACGGGCGGTACGGGCCTTGGGCTTCGACTTGACTTCCCTGGGCTCAGCCATAGTCACCTGCGCTTTCTCGCACAGCGACAGTCTTTGCAGTATCGCACAGCAGTCCGCGTCCGTCGAAGAGGAGAGACGCAAGGCATTGATTGAGCCTGTGGAAGGCTGGAAGGGGAAGAGCGTGGACGGGAACGGGGAAGGCGCTGCAATGCCGCGCACACTTCTCGAAATGATATCCCGGTCGATTGAGATTGCGATGAGCGGTACTTCTTCTGGCTCATGTACATGATCAGGCCTGACATTGCCGGCTCCCATTCTCTTCTCGCCATCTATGCACACGCTCTCAGTGATGATCTCCGTGATCCTGCTCGTATCGCAGACCGCTGCGTGAATGCGAAGGTGGCGGGGAGGCAAAAGAATGTCAGATGGCTATTCGATTGCAGCTTTTCTGTTCTTCATCGGTGGCACGCACCACCACGGGCAAGCCTTGGGCCCTGCCTTGTCCAGGTTGATGAATACGCGCGGGTGGCCCAAAGCTCCTTTGCCTGCGAGCGATACCGTCCAATCATCAGCGTCAGCACATCGAATCGCGCCGGGCTACTATGCTTCGGACCCCGCACTCACCACCATCACACATGGCCTTCCTCCCCTGTACTAGCCTGATGGGCTCCTTGGCAATCATCGCCATAGCACTCAGCGGCATAGGCTGCATCTCGGCGTTCATCTGCTCGAACCTCGGCCCCTTCCACGCCTCATCGCGAGGCTGCTGCGTCTTGCTCCATGTAGCGGGATAGTTGGGGGACTGCTCGGCCGGGTAGCCTGGGACGGTATGAGGGTAGGCAACCTTGGACGTGTCCTTGCTTGTGGTGTCGGGGGTGGTCTGGGTATCGCGAAGAGTGGGGACTTGGGCTGGTCGTTGGAAGAAGCCTGCTAGAGGGGTGGGAGTGCTGCTGAATGTGCGCAGGGCGAGGCGGGAAGATGAAGCGGGGGCTGATGACAGCAGAGAGCGCGACGCTGTTGTTGTGGCGAGGAGCATTGTGGGCGTTTGTGGTGTGATGGGAAGCTGATGATCAATAGGCAGCCGTATCCTCGCCGCCCATTCGACGTTGGCCGCGCATCCGCCCGACTGGCCGAAGGGGGGGG